ATAATTCCTCTCTCTCACTCCTCCCCCTTTTCTCCTCCCCCTCTTATTTATAGACAATGCTATTCCGATAACCTCGTGGTTCTCAGACCCTCTTGATACGGACTTGCTTGATCTCTTACCATTTTTAGATTCGCTGAGATTCACGCAAGATGTCCGCTCGGTTCTGAGTCGAAACTTACACCAGCAGTCTTTATGGTGATGTAGCATATTATCGCTCCCTTTCCTCCCTCTCCTAATGTTGTTTTTCATATTATTATTATTATTATTATTATTATTATTATTATTATTATTGTTATTATTATTATTGTTATTATTATTATTGTTATTATTATTACTATTATTATTATGGAATAATAGTACGCGCGCATTCAAAGAGAGACAGGTTTCTATTTTATTTAAATAATAACAACAACAATAAATGCATAAATAAATAAATAAATAATATTATTATTATTGTTATTATTAATTTAATTTTTTGAATGAATAAAAAATTGTTGAATAAAAATTTCTATTAAAATCTAATCATAGCAGGCGTGGCCACGCGTGGGCGTATGAATGTTTATGGGTACTTCTGCTTTGCTGGTGTCAATGTGTCTCGAAATCTTTTCTCTCTCTCTCCTTCTCTCGGCTGATGCCTAACTACAGCTCCCACAGTAGCCTCTCTATCTCTTTACAATAGGAAAATGGCATCTGCCTCGACTGACCATCCTCTTTTGGAGCAGCTCAGAAAAGGTAAGCAACAAGGATAGTATTTCACTCTCTTTCTCCCTCTCTTGATAGACACCAAAGTATCCAATGATCCAGGTTATTCAGTTATCAAAGTACCCACGTCACCTGAGGGTCACATGATCAAGGTTGTGTGGCCGAGGACCAGTTTCCCGAGAGAGCTCCATCGCTGGAACCTCCCCGAGGTGAGTGGGCGTCGTTTAGTACAGCACGGGTACATCTCGTGTGTATAGGAGATACTGAGTTACCTGATTAGTTTCGATGCTCACAAAGACTGGGTTACAACTCTGAGACATACAAAGTGATTAAGATCCTCTCTCTCTCTACCCCTCTGCTGTAATACACTTTTCTCTTACTCTCTCTCTCTCCCCCCTCTCTCTCTTACTCTCTCCCTCTCTCTCTTACTCTCTCCCTCTCTCTCTTACTCTCCCTCTCTCTCTTACTCTCCCTCTCTCTCCCCCTCTCTCTCTTTCTTCCAGGCCTCCTTCAGGGACCATGTTACTTTTTGATAAGAGAAAGGTACACCATGCATGTACATATAAGTACATGTACTGATACTTTGTACCCATTACACTTAGCACAGTATTATTGTGTTATTATGCTGTCAATCCTCACTTACCATTTTAAGTGTATTAAGGAGAATTAGAATGTGATATTCAACACTTCTCATTAGCACTACTTTATTCACACTAACACTTTAAATGTCTTCTCTCCTTCCCTTCCTATCTATAATGTCACCCTCTTCTTACATCCTCTTTCTCTCCAGACTAAGAATTATAAAGTTGATGGATACGATTGGAAGACTCGGAAGCATCAGGCGGCATCAGTTAGAGAAGATAGAACAAAGTTAAAAGTCTGTGGACACACAGTGAGTGTATGAGAGAGGAAAGGAGGGAGAGACAGAGAGAGAGACAGAGAGAGAGAGACAGAGAGAGAGACAGAGAGAGAGAGACAGAGAGAGAGACAGACAGAGAGACAGAGAGACAGAGACAGAGATCTCTGTCTCTCTGTCTCTGTCTCTCTCTGTCTCTGTCTCTCTGTCTCTCGAGAGACAGAGAGAGAGACAGAGAGACAGAGACAGAGAGACAGAGACAGAGACAGAGATCTCTCTGTCTCTGTCTCTCTGTCTCTGTCTCTGTCTCTCTCTGTCTCTCTGTCTCTCGAGAGACAGAGAGAGAGACAGAGACAGAGAGAGACAGAGAGAGAGACAGAGACAGAGAGAGACAGAGAGACAGAGAGACAGAGAGAGATAAAGTTTAGTAAACATATCTTGTTTCTAAACTAA